GCTACTCACCAAGGTAGAATGTAGAACATTGTCTTTATAAACTCTTTTATGCCAGTTGAGCTAGATGTTCCCTGAGACTATGGTCCCCACAGCCCTCAGCCCAGTAGTTCGGTCCCTCAGGGAATTTGGATGTTTCTATGGAGCTTCCATGACCTTTCCTTGTACAAGTTGTGCTGGCTTCCCCAGTATTGTGTACTGGCAAGACATTATTTTTGTTTTATACAATCAGTATTTACTCACATTTATTGATATTATCCCACATACTTTCTGTTATAGCTGCACTAGACAACTAACACAGTAATGCCACAAGTGGATGGCTTTAACAAAGAAAAATTTCTCTCACGGTTTAGGAGGCTAGAAGTCCAAATTCAGCGTGCCAGCTCCAGGGAAAGGCTTTCTCTCTCTTGTCAGTTCTGGGGGAAGGTCCTTGTCATCAATCTTCATCTGGTCTAGAAGCTTCTCAGTGCAGGGACCCCAGGTCCGAAGGACACGGTCTGCTCCCAGTTCTTCGTTCTTGGTGATATGAGGTCCCTCTCTTCTCTGTTTGCTTCTCTCCATTATATTTCTAAAGACATTGACTCAAGATACAACTTAATCCTGTAGATTGAGTCCTGCCTCATTAACATCATAGAGGTTAGAATTTACAACTCATAGGCTAATCATATCAGATCACAAAACGGTGGATAAGCACATAATACTGGGAATCATGGCCCAGCCAAGCTGACACACATTTCTGGGGGACACAATTCAACCTATAACATTTACCTTTTCTGTTGCTTTTCACTCCTTTCTGTATTTCTACCAGGCTTATTTTTCTTCTGCCTGAAGAACTCCTTCTGATATTTATTTTAGTGTAGTATGTGTCTTTAAATATATTTATTTTACCTTCATTTTTTTATACTAATATTTTTATTAGGTATAGCATTTCAGGTTGGCAGTTATGTTCTTTCAAAACTTTTTATAAAGATGTCTTTGATTATCTTTTGGTTTCCATCCCTTGTGTTGAAAAGTCAGTTTTCAGTCTGCCTCCTGCTCCTTTGAAGAATGTGTTAGGTTTTTTTGTTTTGTTTTTGTTTTTATGCCCCCTCTAGTTGCTTTTAAGATTTTCTCCTTGTATTTGGGTATTAGCAGTTTTACTGTAATGTCTCTAGGTGTGGTTTTGTCTGGCTTTAATTTTTTTTAATCTGTTTCAGAAAAGTATTGCCCTTTATCTTGTAAATTTCTACTCCATTTTATTTCTCTCAGGGCTCCAGTTACACGTATGTTAGACCGCCATGTCATATATGTCTCTTGATTCTGTTTTCTGTATTTTCCCCTTTTTTCTCTCTCAGCCTCAATCTGGATTATTTTCTACTGGATTATTTTATGGTTCATCTGTAACTAATTTACTGCTAAACCCATCTATTGGATTCTTAATTCCAGTTGCTATATGTTTTAGAATTTCCACTTGATTCTTTTTGTAGGTTATAGTTCTCTGCTGAAATTCTTCATCTTGCCATCTATTTTGTTGAGTATAATCAGTTAAAGCCTTTGTCCCGTAACTCTAATATCTCTTATCATCTGTAGGTCTGTTTTCTTTTGGTTTGCAGTCATTTGATCCTATCTCCTGGTAATTTTTATTCAGTTTCAGACATTATATTTGAAAACATTAGAAATAATTTGAGGCACAGGATAATTTTCCTTTATTCAAGAGACGATTTACTTCTGCTTCTTGCAGGCAATTAGGGTAGGGCCAGATCAGTTTAATGTGATGTGGGATTGAGCTGATTCAAAGCTGAGTTTTTGTGAGGGCTAGCCATATTTCCATTTGCCCTTAGTTCTGTGCATTCTTCAGAGTCCTGGTGATAGCCTGTGATGTTTTCTTGGCAGATCGTGAGCTCCAGTGTTTCTCTCTCCATCACCTTGAGACTGCTGAAAGTTTTGCTCAGTTTGGTGTGTTTTGCTTGATACTCTAATCTTCCCTTGGCTGCTCTGAACTCCAGTTTTGGCCTCCCTACTCCCCTGAAACTGCCAGACACTCTGCTCAACTTCTCAAGCACTTAATCATCACTTTGCTTGGCTTCTCGGCCTCTCTGCCAATTTGTGTACTGCTTACAGATCGGCAGATGCCTTGGGGTAAAAGTGTACAGAATATCAGACTCACGTGAATTTTCTTCCATTCTTGGGTATTTGCTTCAGATTCTTGTTGCTTTGGTAATTCTTTAATGCTTTGAAATATATATTAAGAATTGTTTTTATTTTCTTAGTGAATTGAACCTTTTATAAAGCCTTTTTTTTTTTTTTCTTTTTATGTATTTTACTTAGTTTTTTCAGTTGTCTTTGGTGGGAGGGTTCAGTTTTTCTGATACTAACTGGTTTGCCATGGCCAGAATCAGAAGTCATTGGTAGAATTTTCTAATAATTGAATCAGTCTTGCATTCCCAAAATAGATCCAGCTGTATTATCATTTTAATACATTGCTTGATTTGATTTGTTAATGTTAGGTGCTGTTGAGTTGATTTGGACTCATAGCAACCCACGTGACAGAGTAGAATTGCCCCATAGGGTCTTCTAGACTGTAATCTTTACAGGAGCAGATCACCAGGTCTTTCTCCTACACAGTTGCTGGCTGGATTCAAATTGTCAGACTTTTAAGTTAGCAGCCAAACACTTAACCATTGTGCCACCATGAGAAACTGGTCTGTAATGTTCCTTTCTCATCCTTGTCCAGTTGTATTATCAAGGTTTTCTAGCCTCATCCAATGAATTTGGATTGTTTCCTCTGTTCATATTCTCTGAAGGAGTTCATGCAACATTAGAATTATGTTTTACTTCAGTATTTTATAGACCTTTCATACGCTTACTATCTATTCCAGTATGGCTATGTCATATATATTTTTATTTGTATCATATATTTTTCTTGTCTTGATCATCTGGCAGGGTTTATTAATTTTATTAGTCCTTTATTAAATTTTTTTTTATTATTAATTTTTACTCCCTTTAGGCTTATTGTATTATTCCTTTTATAATATCTTAAAATGGATGCTTAGCACATTTTCAGCCCGTCCTTTTTTAAATATAAGCTTTTAAGCCTGTACATTTCCTTCTTAACACTACTTGAGCCATATCTGACAAATGAGGATATGTAATATTTTTAACTGCCACTGTGATTTCTTTGACCAGTGGGTTATTTAAAAGTATGTGTGTTAAGTACATACGGGAGTAGGGGGAATAGTTATGTTTTCATTACTATTTTCTAACCGAATTATATTAATGTCAGAAAATATGACCTGTATGGTATCCAGTTCTTTGAAATTTGTTGAGATATATTTTATGGCCTAGAATGTGATCAGCTTTAGTGATATTCCATATGTTTGTAAAAAGAAAGTATATTTTCCAGTAAATAGGTTCAGGCTTCTATAGTATGTCTACTAAATCGAGCTTGTTAAATGACTGAAATATTCTTTGACCTTAACTTATTTTTTTTTTTTTTGGTCTGCTTTATCCATCAGCTACTGAGAGAGGTATGTTAAGGCCTTCCACTCTGCTGGTGGATTTGCCAGTTTCTCCTTATAGTCTTGTCACTTTTTGCTTTATACATTTGAAACGATGTCATTAGATGCATATTATTTAAGAATTGTTTGATTTTTCTGGTGAATTATTAAACCTTTATTTCTGGTAATATTTGTTGGCCTTAGAGTCTATTCTGTCATATGTTATACCACCATTCTTTTTTGGTATTTAACTTAACGTTTTCCGTTTTCTCATTTAGAACTTGTCTGCGTCATTAGGTTTTAGGTGTGTCTCTTATCAACAGCATTTATCGTTTATCTGTGTTTTGCTTTTTTATCCAGCTTGAAAATTGATATATTTTAATTGGATAGTTTAGTTCATTTAGAGATTTTTAATTACTGATATATTTAGATTATTTTCCATCATTTTATTTTGCAGTTTCTATTTTTTCTCTTTTCTGCTTTCTTTTGAATTGAGATTCCCTGCTCCCTCACTCCCCCTGCCACTTTACTAGGTTGGAAGTTATGCTTTTTCTTCTTTTATATCAAATGTGCTTGCCCTTCCTCTGAACACTCGAGGTTAGAATACATTAATTCAAATCGCTTACCAATTAACTTTCATGCCATACTGTCCAGTATTTGAGTTGAATCTTAATTTTTTAAACCCCATATATTTTATCTTATGATTTTATGCCATCTTTGTAGATCTACTCTTCCCCTTTTCTCCTTAGATCTCAGAGCTTTATTTTCCTTCATCCTAATTTTATTTATATAGAAAAGAATCTTCTTTGGTAAAGCTCTTGATAGTAAACGCTGTGAAAATATCTTTATATCACACTCATTCTTGAATGATAGCTTCTCTAGGTGTAGAATTCTAAATTGACAATAGTTTCCCCTCAGTAGTTTGAATATATTATTCTACTGCTTCATCCACTGATGTGGTTGAGAAGTTTGCTGTGTCTAATTCATTCCTTTAACAAGTAATCTTTCATTTCCCTTTGGCTGCTTTTAAGAGCTTAGCTTCCCTGTGAGCTTAGCTTCCCTGTCTTTGGTGTTCAGCAGTTTCACCGTTGAGTAAATGTGGATTTGCTTGGGATTCATTTGGCTTCCTGACTCTGAGCACTGATGTCATTAATGATTCCTGGAAAATTCTTAACTATTGTCTCTTTGAATATGTTTTCTTCCATTCTCTCCTTTTAGAACTCTGATAGATGCTTATTAAGTCTCCCTCTCTCCTTCTTGTCTCTCAGCCTCTTTCTTTTTGCTAAGCTCTCCTTTTTAATACATTTAGTTGCTTTTATTCCTTTTTAAAAAAAAAAAAAAAAGGCACCTGACTATAGGCTTATGGTTAAGAATTCTCGGGAGAGACTTCTCCTTTATTCCTAGGAGCTTAGCTGTTCATTTAAAAAGATGTCTAGTGTTGGTTGTCAGTCACGCAGATTGTGTTTGTACCGGAACTTTTACAGCCCTCCTCTCCATGTCCCACTAGTGACAGCAGAGTTTATTCTTCGTGCTGCTTCTAGTGTGGCCCTTGTTTCTGCGATGGCCTTATTTTTCTCTTGCACTGGTTCCTGAGCTCATGTTTTATCTCCTTCCATTGTCTTGCCATCTCTTCTCTGAGCACCTCTGTCTCTGCTCTGAACTTCTGTTTTACACAGTCATGGCTAGATGTCACAGTTTTCTGGTGAATGTTCATCTGCCATTTGTTCCTGTAATATCTTCGTTTAGCGCTTATGTTGGTTCCTTTTAAACTACTAATTCCTGGATGAGCTCTTAAAATAGATCATTGTGGGAGAGGGGCCAGGACTGTGTATCCAGGCTAGCAGGAATTCCTAGGGGATGGGGATAGGTACACGGGTTCTTTTAGACTTCAGATTATTGCCTTCTCCCCTCATTGCCTTCTCCCCTCTGGTGTGCTACTTATTTTGGAGAACTAAAAACTACCACCTTCATCTGAAACCTATAACCAAGAGTCCTTGTGTGGCTGTCCCGCACTTGGCGGACTTCCTCATACACTGCCTTTTAGGGTTTTATCAGAGACAGTTTGCATTTTGATTTCTTGTTTACTGTTTTGGCTTTTCAGTGATTTCTAAGGAGGTAGGGTGCATAGTATTGTCTTTGTGCCACTTTAAAACTGAAAGTCACACTAAAAGACCAACCTCGTATTCCTGGGCTAAACACTTCGTGGTTAAGAGGTTTATGGTTAAAATCTTTATTTTTAAAACTCTTCAGTTGGATCTATTTGCTTACATTTTATATAAGACTTTTACATCTATGTTGATGAAGAAAGTGGTCTATTATTGGTGTGTCCTATAACCTCTTCAGGGCTCCTGAAATGAGTGGTCATTTTCTGTGTATATCTAATCTCTGGAACAGTTTGACTATATAAAATAGGGTTTCTTTAAGGTTTTAGCCCTGGTGGCACAGTGGTTAAGTGGTTTGGCTGCTATCCAAAAGGTCGGCAGTTCGAGTCCACCAGCTGCTCCTTGGAAACCCTACGGGGGAGTTCTACTCTGTCTTATAGGGTCACTATGAGTCACAATTGATGGCAGTGGGTTTTTTGTTTGTTTTAAAGTTTTATATAGAATCCCACCTATAAACCTATCTGGGCTTGGTTCCTTTTTAACTTCTGCTTCAATTTTTCCATTTAAATTCAGTTTTCAAACTTATTGCCATAAAAATGTCCTTAGGAACTAGAGGATGAGGTTTACTTTATCTGTGTTACTGGTGTATTTCACAGTAAGAATGGATCAGTGTACAAATAGAATACAATAGAACACAAATCATCATTTGGTGATGGCGGCTGATCTTATTTTAAGGGAGTAGAAGATGAAAGCCATGGCCTGATCCCCCCACTTCTACCCCAACAAACCCTGTGCTCTGCTAAGTCAGTCTTTCTCTTCCTTTTCTTTCTCAGTTTTAGGAAAAGTCCTCAGTGCTGTGGGCAGTGCCCAGCTACTGATGTCCCAAAAGTTCCAGCAGTTCCGGGGCCTCTGTGAGCAGAACTTGGTGAGTGTGATTCTTCTTCCTCCACAGCAGGGCTTCCAGACTGGCTGCTGGCCAGATCCCACCAGCTGGACTGGCCTGTGTGCCAGCCAGTCCCTCCCCTATAACACGGAGATAGTGCCACATCCTCATGCCTATTGGAAGATGAAGGTGATGTGTCAGTACAGTGCCTAGCACAACAAAAGGGCCAGGAAATTGACATCTCAGATCGCTAATGCCTTTATTAATAGAAATTAAATTATCTAAAAACAGCTGCATGAAAATTAAAAATCACTTCAGTGTAACACAAAAAATATACCCTAAGAACACCGTCAAAGTAAGAACTAAAGAAATACTACTACTAGGCATGCTGGTTTTCTTCTCCCTCACCTGTTAGGGCCTGCTGTAGGGTAGGCTCTCTCCAGCTAGCCCAGTCTGTGTACCCTGAGAGTGGAGGGAGTTCACATTGTCTCCAGGACCTGTAGGGGTTTGTAGGGTGGGCAGTCAGTGATGAGGAATGTGCTGACTTGGCTTCAGTAACCACACCCACCTGGGTGTGAACCTTGGCTTCCCTGCCTTGTTGTGGGACCATGGCTTGTAATGTGTGTTCTGTTACCTCCTTGTAAATGAAAACATCTGTCTCTTTGGCATACATTAGGGACCCAGTGCACCCAAGAGCCTGCCTTACCATAGCCCACATGTATGTAAACCAGTGCTGGCAGGGCCAGGGAGGTCCTTTGTGGGGCGGGGTGCAGGACAAGCCTTTGCCTTGCTAGCCCCACTGATCTCCATCTGCCCCACAGAACCCTGACGCCAACCCACGTCCCACAGCCCAGGACCTGGCAGGGTTCTGGGACCTGCTGCAGCTGTCCATCGAGGACATCAGCATGAAGTTTGATGAGCTTTACCACCTCAAGGCCAACAGCTGGCAGCTAGTGGAGACCCCCGAGAAGAGGAAGGTGAGCATGGAGCAGTGCGGAGGGGAAGTCCAGGGACAAATTCCTGGTCGGCAATAACGCTGCCCACATCGGTCAGTGCTGCTTGGCTCCCTTCTCCATGTGTTGTCTTTGAGCTGGGGGCTCGCGTCCATCAGTGTGCGGGGTCCACGCTTGGCACTTGTCCGGCATGCCGCTTGCTCTGTGTAGTTGAGGCTGCCCCTGATGCATACCATCCTGCCCTGCATGTTCGGGAATCCTGGGAGACACACCCTTGGGTACTAACCTAGACGTGGCTTTTGGTACCTTGGAGGCAGCAAAGTGATCCTTTCTCCTGGGGCCATGCTGCTGGGAGTACTGGGGCTGAGCCTACTTGTGTCAGCCTCTGCCCTGAGGCTCAGCCTTTCTTCTGTAAAACAGTAGAAGCCAGTGACCCCTCTGGGTATTGCACAGTGGCCCCTTTAATCCTCTAGAGTAGCATTAATCCTCTAGAGTAGCATGTGAGATGTGACCTGGGAGGCAGGAGCCCTGTGTTTAAGTCCCATTTCTGGCTGGATGACTCAGGCTCCCGATGGTTCCAAGCAAGGGTAGGAACCGGTGATCTGTCCAGACCTTCCTGCTAGAACATTCTAGAGGTCTAAGCTTGCCTTTTGCGCCTATGCCTTGTACTATTCCCACTATCATTGCTTCTTGTGGCTTCCTGATTCCAAATGTGTGTTGCTTGTGCCCAATGCGGGGAGGCTGGGGTAGAGACTTCAGCTGCCAGCATATAGTGGGGGGTAGTGCCACACAAAACGTGGCACCTTTATTTTATTTTTGTTCCCTGCTCACTAAAGGAAGAGAAGAAACCACCCCCTCCGGTCCCAAAGAAGCCAGCCAAATCCAAGCCGGCGGTGAGCCGAGACAAGGCCTCAGATGCTGGGGACAAGCAGCGCCAGGAGGCCCGCAAGAGACTCCTGGCAGCCAAGCGGGCAGCTTCTGTGCGGCAGAACTCAGCCACAGAGAGTGCAGACAGCATCGAGATTTACGTCCCCGAGGCCCAGACCCGGCTCTGAGACCGTGAAGGAGGAAGGAAATCATTTTTACATCATTAAAAGACACACAGAAAAACTAAATGCAAATGGAACAAAATTTTCTCAACCTTTAGTATGATTATTCTGCCTAGAGACCCTGAGCCAACTTTCAAATTGATGCATACAAGGGCTCACAATTTGGCTTTTTTGGGTCCCTCCCAGCTTTAGGTTATGAAGACTTCACATACATACACACAAATCAACAAGAAACCTAAAACTTTTTTTTCCTCTTGCTGGCCGTGGTGGACTAGATAGATGGACTCTGGCAAATCCCTGGTCCAGCCTCCCGATTGCGGTCTTTTTACTTGTTCTGTCGAATGAGAACTTAAACTAGCTTGTTTACAAGATAACGACAGTCCAAGGGCAGCCTTGGGCACCTCCCTTTCCTTCCTTCCTTCTCCCAGCTACCCCCGCTCTCACCTTGGATTTTTCATTCTTGCGTTTCTCTTTTCACTTCAGAGCTCACCGTCTGACTAGGGGCTTTCTGGTTCTCAGCCCCTTTTGTGGTCGAGGGCCCAGAGGACAGAGGTAGCCACGCGCTCACACACAGATGCAGGTTTCTTCTCATGGGCCCAGCACCTCCCACTGCCGTCCTCCAGCCCTCAGCAGTGGCAGCGGGTAACACACCTCTCTAAGCAGATGAGGCGGGTTTAAAAATAAGTCTGTGCGGGGAGAAAGAGATAAAGCCACAGTTATCGCACTCCAGACTTCTGCCTTTTTCTTCTCTCCAGCCCTTCCTTCAGCAAAAGAAAATTTATGACAGGGTGCACACAAGAGAAGGACCCCATTTTTCCAAGGGGTTGTCTGTCCTCAGCCAAGCCTGTGTACAGTCCCCCCAAGGGGCGGGGCAGCTGTGTCTGTACGTACGTGTACATATGCACATAGACCCTTAGAGTGTATATTTAACAAATGCCCATCTGCTCACCCATGCCCACCAGCACTACCGCTGTCTACTGGGGCACCCGGCAGTAGGTGGGTGTGTGAATAGCATATATTTTTACATGTACTATATCTAGGTGTGTGTACAAGTGTGTGTAAAAATATATACCTTGTGTGTAAGCAGCCTTTTTTTTTGGGGGGGGGGTCTCCCACCCTCCCCCATCTGCCCAGCCTCAGTTTTCTGTTTTGTTTTTACCCCAATCCTCCTCCTCTCTCCCCTGCCCCTCACTTCCACTCCCAGGGTGTCACGAGCCCTGAGCTGCAATGGCCCGGGTCTGCAGGGTAGGTGGGGAGGGCAAGGGCAGGCCGTTGGCACAAGGGCCAAGCTAGGCCACAGGCTCAGCACGTGAGGGGCTGCTCTATACTGTGTATACGACTCTATGGCATTGGAGACATCCTCTTGTCCAACGCTTGCTGCAGGGGCCCCGGGTGAACCAAGGGTCTGCTCTGTGGCTGCCCTTGGGGCTCCATTCCAGCTTGGCCGCCGTCTGTGACCTTGGGCAAGTCACTTGACCTCTGTGTGCCTCAACTTCCTCCTCTGTAAAATGGGGACAGTCCCGGCCCCTCCCTACCTCACAGGCATGTTGTGAGAATAAATGAGGTAACGTGTACCAAGGGCTCCTGGTGTTATTGCAGTAGGATGGCAGGCTGGGAATGGACTCTCCCAGGAGACCAAGCCAGACCCCTCCCAAAAGGCAGCTCTCTGGAGACAAGCTGACTCAAGTGCAGATCATAATTCCAGCTTGAGCACACACAGCACTGATCCTGGGCAAGAAAACTAAGCTCTCGGTTCCCTCATCTGGACGATGAAGGCACGACATTTACTTTACCAGCTTCTCACAAGAAATGACTACAGAAGCCAAGATGGCTGTTCAAGGCTGCCCTTGGTGACAGTCCACACCCCTCCACAGACCCAGCTGTTTGCGCCCCTCCCAGGACGGGCACTCCGAATCCCCCAGCAGCTATTTCCAATTTGACGGTTACACACATTGAACATGTTAATGGAGCCCTACTTGGCCAGCCCAGTGCCGGGTGTGGGGTTTGTGGAGGTCATTCTCAGAGCTCACTCTCTGGTGTGGAGACAGACACTGACCCCATCAGACAAGTTCAAGTGTGACGGGTGGTGGAAATGAAGACACGAGTATGAGGCTGTGGGAACCTGTGAAGCACAGCACCACCAAATCCAGGCTGGGCAGGAGCATTCTGGAAGGATGAGTGGGTATTAACCAGCCTAGGGGTGGGGGATGGTGTGCAGGGGTGGGAGCTGGGGAGAAGACATTCCAGACAGAATTGTTAACATAAGGAACAGCAGGTCCAAGGCCCTGTGACGGGAACACGCCTTTTAGAAAGTTCTTGGGGCAGGCTCTGGAGCCAAAGACTCTTGGTCTCCTCCTTCCTCCCAACTCAGCTGGGATGCCAATGATCTCAGGTCCAGGGAGCACAGAAGCACCTTCCCAGGAGCTCATCACAACCGTGTCGCCCAGACGCTGTGTGCTCAGAGCTGCTTGCCCTCATCCCTGCACCCAGCACTCGGCCTCTTAGTGGCAGCTGAACATGCAGTGACCGTGGGTGGCTCTGATTAACTCCTGGGGCTGGCGCCTTCCTCAGCTGCCCCTGCCCTGAGACTGGCTGCGGGCAGGTGACTTGAAGGGGAAGTGCAGAGGTTTCAGGTTGCCTGGGACACGTCTGCATTTCTGCAGCCAGCACTGAGCCCAGCGCACAGAGGTATTAGTGAATGCAGGGGGAGGCCAGGCTAGATCTGAGGCCTCCAACCAGCTGGAGGCCGGAGCCCTGCTCTGGCAGGCCTTGGGGGCCAGGGCTGAGCCCTGACCCTTCTGAGTGTTTTGCTGCTGCAAGGGAGGGGGTCTCCAAGAGAGTCCTGCACTCCCTGTACTGGACACACTAGAGCAAAGGGAGAGGAAGAGCCTGACGTGCAGAACTGGGTCCACATCTCCAGCCCTCCTCACTGCCCCCAACCCCTCCCTCACACTGCTCCACTGTGCCCTGCCATTGCCCCACCCTGTCCCCCATGGGATGTCCCTGGTAAGCTTGGAGCAGTTCAAGTTAGAAGAAAACCAGCTATCTAGCTGAGAGTCTGCCCTGTCCCCAAAGCCCCTCTCCTGGCCCCTGTGCCCGGCCCTCTGACCAATGCTGTGATATAGCTGCCACTCTGGGCCCTGACTCCCTCCTCCAGAAATCAGGACAACAGCAGCCCCCACCTTGTGTAAGCTCACCCAGGCAAGGTGCTGGCCTGGGCTGAGCCAGTCCAACAGAAGTAAAATGCCCCAAAGGTATGTTGGTGGGGGGAGGAGGGTGTTATTGCCCTCACCAGGGGGTCACCTAGTGCCAGGCTGTGGCCAGCAGGACTGCCAAGCACAGCCCTACATTTCCAGAGCAGCCTCAGGCTGGCTCCCTCCAGCCCATCTGCCTGGCAGGCCCCAGATAAGCGTGCGAAGGCACTGCCCCTGCTGCCAGGTGTGGGGTGTCAGTATTAAGCAGGCTTTTCTACCCCTTCCTTTCTTTCATTCCCCACTTATTAATTTTAAAAAATTAAAGAGCTAAGTAAAAGCTGAAAGAATGCTACAATGAACACCATATATCCGTCACCCAGAATTACCCATTTTGCCATATTTGCTTTATCCCTCTTGGGACATAGACACACACATACACTCTTTTCCCTGAGGCATTTGGAAGTAAGCTGCAAACAGCATGACACTTCACTCCAAAATACATCATGCAACTCTGACAGCAAGAACATGCCTACTGAGCACAATACCATTATCACTCTCAACCCAGGCGTGGTCCCAGGAGGCCTGCCCTTACTCAGGAAGGCACCCGCTACCCAGATACTAGTATTGTCTAACGCACACTCCACATTCCAGTTTCCCCACCTGCCCTAATAATGTCCTTTATGGCCTCTGTTCCCATCCAGGATTTGCATTCAGTAATCATGTATTTCGGCTCCTTTCATCAGAAACAGTTCTCCCACCATTTTTGCTTTGTTCTCCAGGACACATTTTTTTAAGTGTTCGAGCAGCTTGTTGAATGTCACGTAACTTGGATTCATCTGTTTTCTCGTGACTCAACTCAGATCACACAGTTCTGATAAGAACATGACATAGGTGGTGCCCCATCTCCTCCACTTCGGGGAAAGCCTGACATGCAGCACCCAGAGCAGCTGGGGATGAGTGTCCAAAGCCCAGTCCTTGAGGGAACAGGAAGGGCCCAGCACAGGGACAGGCAGAAGCACCTCCTGAAGGCTGCAGGGTGGTTGGGGAAGAGGCAGAGGGAAACAAGCTTGTCAGCCACCATGGGTCCCAAGGATCCTAGACAGGGCCATGGATCTGACAGCAGTGAGGCGCAGGCTCCCCTTCCAGACCCCTCACTTCCCCAGGGCTGCAGAGCCCTCACCCTATGCCCTCAAGAGCAGAGAGAAGGTTCGGCGAGAGCCCAAACAGCACTGGGCCCAGGAGCCTTATGGACAGGACAGAGGGATGAGAACGAGCCTGAGGAGTGAGGACCACGTGAGCACCAGGAGGGTAAATGCTGCTGAGGACCCCTCTACCAAGTGAGATGAAGTTTCGATCACCAACAGTGGAGTGGGGTTTATAACAGAAATACAAAATTGTGTCTCCTGCCCTGAATCTGTGGCCGATCTGCAAAACCAACATGGTCCCTGTGGCTACTCCTGCCTGTTCCACATGGCAGCCAGACGGAACTTCTCAAAATGCCAATGAGGGGTGTCTCCCTCTGCTCAGAACGCTCCATGGCCTGCCCACTGCCCCCAGGAGAAAATCCAGCCTTCTCACCTGGGCTGTGGAGGCCCTTGCCCACCGTCCTCGTGCACCTCCGATGACAGCCCACCCTGCTCTCCAGCCACATGTCAGTGCCTCACACACAGGGAGCCCTGGCTGTCCTACCAACGCAGGCAACAGCTTCCCTGTCCTCAGCTCACAGGTCAGTTGGCATTTCCTCAGGGAAACCCTCACAAAGCGCCTGGGTCAGGTTGCTGTGAACCCCCATTTACATGCTACACAAGAGTCACGTGGCTTTTCTTTGATGCTCATCACTGGTGTGAGAATGTATTTATCTGTGTGATTATATGTGAAAATCTGTCTCCACAGAGGAGATGATGGACTCCCTGAGGGCAGGAATGCTAGAACAGATGAGAGCCTCAAGAACTATTTCTTCAATGAATGGCCTTGTTTGGGGGCTTTGGAGAGAAAGCAGTATTTGAGCTGGGCTTTGAGGGATGAGTAGGAGTCCTCCAAGCAGTAGCAGTGACAGACATAGTGAGCACAGAGGCACAAGTGGGACCGGTGCTGTGCTCAGAGAGGAAGCAGTGCTAGATAAACCTTGAATGCCAGGTTAAGGAGTAAGAGCTTTCACCAGGGCCAGGTTTTGGATGCAGCAGGGCCATTTCTTATCACAGAACCCAGCTTCCCATGAGACAGGGAGCCCCCCAGTCCCAATCTCCATGGAGCCATGGTACCCTCTGGACCCAGCTAGCATGAGGGTTTATCTCTAAA